ATGAAGGACATTGAAATAGCTACTTATCTATCCAGAAAACTTATCTATCCAGAAAACTTGACCATAATGCATAAGACATTCCCACTATGAATTGCTCCCACAACCCTGACTGAATGACAGTAAAGAATGTTCAAGTCTACCAAAGCTCCCATCCTCACCATGTTATAGGTCTAAGAGATCATAAGAATGGGCAAACTCAGTTCCTGAGCACTGTGTCAGGTCTAGGAGGGTTGCAGGTATGATCTACATAGCCTCACAGTATGATCTGCAGCTCAGTAACAGGCAAGTGGGTGATCTTACTCAAAAGAAAATCCAAAGAGGCAACTGGAGGAAGGAGCCCACCGAAATGTTTACTTTTCTATAATCATTGGATGTATTCTCTGAGTGTATCAGCATCAGTTAAATATTATTTTATTCTTCTTGGAGGGCAAAACTTTTAAGAGGAGTTATAAAAAATATTTGATTACAGACCCTGAAGCTCATGTCAGACAACTGCATAAGTGCCTAGGGACACCCTGGACTCAAAAATAATAAATCAATCAATAAATATTGTGCCTTGCCAGGATCACTGGAACATAGAATGTGAAGCTTTTCAGATGGTTTTAAAGAGCTTCAGCAAATGAACTACCACGTACTTAGAACAGGAAATGAACTTTAATCAGAAGAGGGCTGCTGAGGCTGAAGGAGCAGAAATAAAAGAGAGTCAAGAGACATGCAACAGGGGCCCTGCTACAGCAATATTGCCCAGACACCAGAGATAAGAGGGTAATCTGCAGACATATTTGATTTCTTAACTCTTAACTCACATGTTGAGTTTAATTAAGATTGCAAAATGACAGTCCCAAAGACAGGGCCTGAGTGATCTTGAGTGTGAGTCACTGATCCTTACCTCTGAGAGTCCCAGCGTTCCTGCCAGGTGACTGTCTTCTTCACAAATGTATGTGATGCAAATTTGGCATGACAGAGCCCCTTTCCGAATAACAGAGTCAATCAAAGCTCGGCTTTATCCATAGATGTAGCATTTTCACATTGTACTTTCTGCATCTCTTCCTGGTTCAGCACCCTTTTCTCTAATAATTCATCCAGTAAGCCCTTTATTGTACCTTCACTCACTGATCGGATAAACAGCTCTCTCTTCTCCTTCAGGATCTTGTCTGTTCAGGGCACAAAGGTTACTCATGTCATAAAAACAGCCTCAGATTCCTCTCATGTCATCAAAAGAAAGTGACCTCATTTAGATTTTATCATGAAAATGTTCCCCTCCTCACATTTGGGTAAACCCTCTTCTTACTATATAGCTGTCTTACTTGTTTCCCTCAATAGTCCCTGTACATGTGTATGGAGTGGCCTGAAGACTGAGTTTACAATTTTCAGGTTAGTCTCTGGAAAGCAGAGACCATCCTTTTGCGTCCCCTGTTTATTTAACTCTAAATAATAAAGTAATGAAACAGAAATAGCCCATTTCCTTTAGGAACAACAGCTGCTAGTACTCTTCCTGTGCCAATTCTGTATCCTCTGTTAGACTTACAATATGTAAGAGTTTAATTAAGATTGCAAAATGACAGCAGGCAACCCCTAAAGCCTCAGTTCCTTTCTGGTTTGCCTTTCCTTTCTAAAGGCTGCAAGAGTCTTCTGGTTTCTTCTCTCCCCTCTCTTCTCCCTCTCCCTCACTTCAGCTCACCTAAACTTCCAGAGATACTAATTATGGCTTCCAGAAGAGTCAGCCCCTTCCAAAACTCTTTCTTCCCAGGGACGTGTCCTTGGAACAGTGAAAGACTCGCCAGCCATGGCTTTTCTCTCCTACTGTTCTTGTGCGATGTAAAAGTGAAGCATGTTTCACCTTCCTTTTTACCTTCCTTTTATCCTTTCCTAGCAGGGCGTGTACACATATTGCAAAACAACCACTGCACATGCATACGCATGGATGCCACACTTCCAGACAAATTTTTATTGCCCACGGACCAGGAGATTCCCAGCGGATGAGCCCCACGGGTCACAAGCGCGACTCTGGTGGCCGGCGCGGTGGTTTTGCCTGTGCCCCAGCGCGGCGGTTCTTGGTGCGGAGTAAACCGAACCAGGTGCCCTTTTGGTCGACCTTCGGAGCTCCAGGAAGGCAGAGTCGCCTATTTACCTGACTGAAAACCGGACTGAAGAGGGAAGCCAGACTGGAGAGTTCCCAGCAGAAAAGTACCAGGAATCTCAGTGCCGCTGTTTCAGCCAGCACAGTGGGTTACTCAGATTCCAGCACTGGGAATCAACAAGTTGGACATCCACTCAGAGACCCAATTTGAAAGTTGGCAATTACAAAGACGACAGGTGGATAAATCCACAAAGATGGGAAGAAAACAGCATAAAAAGGCTGAGAACACCCAAAATCAGAATGCCTGTCCTTCTAAGGGGATCATAGTTCCTCATCAACAAGAAAATGAGGCCTGATGGAGAACGAGTGTGATCAATCAACAGAACTAGGCTTTAGAAGGTGGATAATAAGAAACTTCTGTGAGCTAAAAGAACATGTTCTAACCGAATGTAAAGAAACTAAGAACCTTGAAAAAAGGTTTGACAAAATGCTAACGAGAATAGACAATTTAGAGAGAAATATAAGTGAATTAATGGACCTGAAAAACACATGAGAACTTCGTGAAGTATGCACAAGTTTTAACAATCGAATTGATCAAGCAGAAGAAAAGATATCAGAGGTGGAAGACCAATTTAATGAAATGAAACAAGAAGACGAGATTAGAGAAAAAAGAGTAAAAAGAAATGAGCAAAGTCTCCAAGAAATATGGGAAATATGTGAAAAGACGTAATTTATGTTTGATAGGTGTACCTGAATGTGATGAAGAGAATGAATCCAAGCTGGAAAATATTCTTCAGGATATTATCCAGGAAAACTTTCCTAACCTAGTAAGGCAGGACAATACTCAACGCCAGGTAATACAGAGAACACCACAAAGATATTCCTCAAGAAGAGCAACCTCCAGACACATAATCGTTAGATTCACTAGGGTTGAAACAAAGGAGAAAATTTTAAGGGCAGCCAGAGAGAAAGGTCAGGTTACCCACAAAGGGAAGCCTGTCAGACTCATAGCAGATCTCTCAGCAGAAACTCTACAAACTAGAAGACAATGGGGGGTCAGTATTCAACATCCTTAAAGAAAAGAACTTTCAACCCAGAATCTCATATCTAGCCAAACTAAGCTTCATAAGTGAAGGAAAAATAAAATTTTTGCAAACAAGCAAGTACTCAGAGATTTCATCACCACCAGGCCTGCTTTACAAGAGCTTCTGAAAGAAGCACTACATACAGAAAGGAACAACCAGTACCAGTCATCCCAAAAACTTATTGACAGGTAAAGAGTATCACCATAATGAAGAATCTATATCAACTAATGGGCAAAACAGCCAGCTAGTATTAAATGACAGTATTAAACTCACATGTATCAATATTAATCCTAAATTTAAGTGGATTAAATGTTCCAATCAAAAGACACAGACAGGCAAATTGAATGAAAAGTCAAGACCCATCGGTAAGCTGTATCCAGATCTATCCCACATGCAAGGACACACTAAGACTCAAAACAAAGGGATGGAGGAAGATTCACCAATTAAATGGAGAGGGGGAAAAAACCCACAAACAAACAAAAAACAAAAACAAACAAACAAAAAAATCAGGCGTAATTTTCATCTCTGAAAAAATAGACTTTAAAAGTAACAAAGACTAAAAGAAACAAAGAAGGACATTACGTAATGGTAAAAGGATCAATGCAACAAGAAGAGCTAATGATCATAAATATATATGCACCCAATACAGGAGTACCCAGATACATAAGACAAGTCCTTAATGACTTATAAAGAGACTTAGACTCCCGCACAATAATAATGGTTGACTTTAACACTACATCGTTCACATTAGACCATCGAGATAGAAAATTAGCAAGGATATCTATGACTTGACCTCAGACCTGGAACAAATAAACTTAATAAATAGTTACAGAGTTCTCCACCCCAAATGCATAAAACATACATTTTTCTCAGTATCACATTACACCTATTGTAAAAGTAACCACACAACTGGAAGTAAATCATTTTTCATGAATTGCATAGCATTTCATAAATTTAAATGAAATATTGGTTGGCTGTTTGTTTTTTCTTCCCTTATTCCTTCCTGTCTTCGTTGTTAAGCACAATTATTGGCATAAAAGAGATCTTTAATACCTATTTTTATACTGCATTCTACCCTGGGCAATAGAGCAAGACTCCTGTTCTCTCTCCCCCTTTCTCTTCTTTCTTTCTCTCTTTCATAAAAAAAGAGAGAGAGAGAGGAGAGAGAAAAAATATTCATGAGATAACCAACCTTAATAAATGCAGTGAATATCTGAAACTGATAAATAATTTGCATTCCTACCCTCTAAATTGCTTTCAGATATGTCTACTTTATTTGAAGAGGGCACTATAGGAATAATTAATTGTTCTTTAATAAAATAATAGAAGTAAAAATGGAGAGATGGTTCCAAATTTGGGAAAAGCCTGTACAAAACTTGGCCATGGCTTGACTATTGAAGGTACATGAGAACAAAGGGTTCCATATGAGTTTCATGTTCCTGGTTTGAACAACTGGTGGTGGTAGCACCAATAACCAAGTTATACAAAACCAGAAGAAATTCAGGGTGGGGAAGAATGGCATGCTCAGCTCTGAAACTGTGTAGATAAGGGTGTCTCTGGGACATGTGAGGGAATATTTCAGTAGGCTAGAATAATAAATTTGGTACTTATTTGGGCAATCAGGATTTGAGACACAAGTTAAGAATTTTTAATATAAACACGGATAGTGAAGCTGTGGGATAGTTTCTACAAAAGCTGAATAGGTGATGAAAAGAAAATTATATAATCAATCTATGAAAATGCTCCATAGCCCATTTACCCATGGTTCATCCTACAAAATTAGTGTCAAGGAAGATGGAGGGTCAAAGAATGCTCCTGTTTTAAAACAGCATTACCTGGGAAGGAAGGAAGTACTTCTTAGGAATCTTGCATATTAAGGTGATGTCCGGATGCTTGAACTATGAAAAGATAAAGGATATTGAAATAGTCACTTATCATCTCTGGAAAACTTTACCCCAGTGTGCAAAACACTCCCCACTAAAAATTTCTCCTATAACACTGACTGACTGACATTAAATAATGTTCAAGATGTTCTTTAATTTAGAGAGTAGTGAGAGGTATAAAATGGAAGAGACAGCAATAAAAAAAGGTGTTTATTACTTGTAGATGAAACAGAAACATCTGCAATGTCTGCTTAGACAGGCATAAACTTTCCCTAACCCTTAGAAAAAAAGGTTTTTACTTTCAAAGAACGTCTCCCGCCGAAGTGGCTTTAGGAAGTTCCGCTGAGATCAGTGACTGTGAATCCACCAGAAGTCTCATCCTCACCATGTGGTAGGTCCAAGTGGTGATGAAATTTGGCCAGCTCAGTTCCTGAGCACTGTATCAGGTCTGAAGAAGGCTGCAAGTGGAGGCAGTCCAGGCCTCACAGCATGAACTGCAACCTGGTAACAGGCAAGTGGGTGATCTTACTCAAAAAAAATATAAGGAGGCAACTGGAGGAATGAACCCACTAGAAAACTTTATTTTTCTGTACATTCAATATGTTCTCTGAGTGTATCACCAGCACTGAAATATATCGTATTCTTTTTGGAGGGGGAAATTTTGGAGAAAAGTTATAAAAAGTATTTGATTATAAATCTTAAAGCTTCATGTGGCTTTACAACTGCTTAAGTGCTTAGGGTCCACTTTCACTAAAAAAATAGATAAATAAATCCACAAACAAATATTATGCCTTGACAGGAACAGTGGAACAGTGTGAAGCTTTTCAGATAGTTCTCATGAGCTTCTGCAAATGAACTACAATATACTCAGAACAGGAAATGAGCTTTAATTAGAAGAGGGCCACTGAGGATGGGGAAACAGAATCAAAGGAGAGTCAAGGGACAGGCAATAGGGGCCTTGTTACAGAAATATGGCCCTGAAGCCAGAGATAAGAAAGTTGTCTGTAACTTAACATGACTAGTATAGACATCACATGGTAGGCACGTTGATAAGCCCTATGTGCACTTGAGTGTGAGTCACTGATCCTTACCTGCTGAGAGTCCCAGCTTCTCTGCCAGAGAACAATCTTCTTTGCAAATATATGTGATGAAAATTTGGCATGCCCCGGCCCCTTTCCTAATAACAGTGTCAAACAAAGCTCGGGATTTATCCATAGATGTAGCATTTTTACATTTTACTATCTCCATCTCTTCCTTGTTCAGCACCTTTTTCTTTAATAATTCATTCAGTAAGCCATTTAATATGTCTGCATCTGCTGAACGGATAAACAACTTCCTCTTCTCCTTCAGGACCTTGTCTGTTTGGAGCACATGGATTTCTCACATCATGAAAATAGCCTCATATTGCTCTCATCAACAGAAAGTGGCCTATTTTAGATTTTATCAGGAAAATGCCCCCCTCCTCACAGTTGGGTTATCCCTCTTCTTACTATGTAGCCCTCCTACTTGTTTCCCCCAATAGTCCCTGTACAACTGCATGGAGTGGCCTGAAGACTGACTTTACTATTTCCATGTTAGTCTCTGGAAAGCAGAGACCATCCTTTTGTGTCCCCTGTTTATATAACTCTAAATAATAACATAATGAAACAAATAGCCTATTTCCTTTAGGAACAACAGCTGCTAGTACTCTTCCTGTGCCAATTCTGTACCCTCTGTTAGACTTACAATATGTAAGAGTTTAATTAAGATTGCAAAAGGACAACAGGCTACCCCTAAAGCCTCAGTTCCTTTCTGGGCTTGTTTTTCCTTTCTAAAGGCTGCAAAAGTCTTCTAGTTCCTTCTCTCCTCTCTGTCCTCCCTCTGCCTCACTTCAGCTCACCTAAACTTCCACAGATACTAATTATGGCTTCCAGAAGAGTCAGCCCCTTCCAAAACTCTTTCTTCCCAGGACATGTCATTGAACAGTGAAAGACTCACCAGCCATGACTTTTCTCTCCTACCGTTCTTGTGTGATGTGAAAGTGAAGCATGTTTCACCTTCCTTTTTACCTTCCTTTTATCCTCTCTTAGCAGGGCGTGTACACATATTTCAAAACAACCACTGCAAATGCATATGCATGGATTTTTTTTTTCAGGGAAAATCAGATTCCTGAACTGTAGATTGCATCAGAGAGTGTATCTTTGGGAGAATTTCTTCACCAGCCCTTCGAACAGGTCAGGGTGAGAGGGGACTGGGACTTGGAGAATAAGAAACGAATGAGAAAGTATGTGTACAATTAAACTGACACAGTGAAGAGTTTCCCATTCATTAAGAAAGTAGCACAACATTTAGAGAATTGGGTCCACTGCTCTCCCGGGCCAACCTCACATGGGAATTCTTGGAAAATTACGTCCCTGTAAAACAATTTTGCTTTAAGAAATGAAAACATTTTTACCAGAATTAAAGCTTTTCTTATTTAATGTCCTTCCTTCTCAGGGGATTCTTTTTCCCAATACAGTGTTTTACTCTGTCACTCATGCTGGAGTGTAGTGGCACTAACACGGCTCACAGCTGCCTCCGCCTCCACCTTCCTGGGCTCAGCAGAGGAACCTAGGCACATGCTACCATGGCCAGATAATATTTTTTCTTGCAAAAAAGAGACTCCCTATGTTTCCTAGGCTAGTTTTGACATCCTGCACTCAATAAATTCAGCCACTTTGGCCTCCCAAAGTGTTGGGATTATAGGTATGAGCCACCTACCCATCTAGGATGGTTTTCTTTTGAGGGGCATTGCATCATAGAGGCCCAGAGCCAAGACTCTGGACTCAGAATGTTGAACTTAGCATTTTAAACTTCATTTTGTGAGCAAGAAATTGAACTTTCCTATGCATTGGTTCCTTTGTCAGTAAAATAATTTTATTAATAGTACATACCTACAGTTTTCAGCATTAAGTGAAAGAAAAATGTAAAAAATGCCTGGCAAATGGTAAGCAGATAATGAGTGATATTAGTATGATTAATACAAATATTTTACATTAGAAAAAAAATTAAGGATAATTATTTGTGGATTATACAGCTAAGTTTTGTTAGACTCTTCAAGCAGTGCATCCAGTTATTCATTTAACTAATATATATGGACCATATGGTGGGAGGAGCCAGGGGTTCAGTCAACACATACCACAGTCATTTACCCCTTGCTCTCACATACAAAAGCAGAAGACAAATGTGAAGCCCTGAATGTAGTATGTAACTGGGATATTCAGAATGTGCAAAGATGGCAAGTGATGAGAAGAATAAGAAGTTAATTGGAGAAGTAGGAGACAAAATATTTGAAGACTCATGAAAACTGTAGAGAGAGAAGCCACGGAAGGCCAGAAGAGGTCTCTGTCTTTGCAAGTACGTGTTCAACTGATTACACCAGAAATAAACTCAATGTGGCCAATTTATTTTATGAATCTCCTTGATGGAACATGGACTAATAACAAAATGGAGATAGTACTTTATGTTGATCAATTTCGTTACCAAAATTTTTCTTGGGTTATTGCCTTATCTTTAGAGAATAAGGACCCGAAGTTACAAAAAACATCCACCTTTTGACATGTGGGCCACCAGTTTTACCTCCTGTGCTCTAGGCTAGGAGATAAATGTGTTTGGTTAGAGTAGAATGCACTGTGTAAGAGGACGATGATGTGGCTTTTAATCCCTGGAGTTTCTCATGATTTATTTTCCATCTTTACTCTGACAATGAGTTAATCTGATTGCAGCAGAATCTTGTGCTCCTTGCTACTGAGAGGATTTGTAGCATGGAATAAAGCAGAAATTACCTGTGCATCACTTCTCTTCCATTCCTTTATTTTTCAGTTTACTTACTGATTCATTTATTTCTCTATTAATTTAAGGATTTCACATGAAGGTTTCTCTCCTAGCCAGAGCCATACACCACTGAGCTGAGCATGCCTAAGTAGAATCCAGGACACAGAAGCCATGACTAGACCGTATATCTGGGATGTAGAATCATAAGCCTCAAGCCTCATGTCCTGGGAAAGCAAACACTGAGCTACTAGATTGCAAAATCCCACTGTTGCCTCAAAAATGAAGATGTTATAAACAGGTGACAACTCAATATCCAACTTAGGAGCAAAGGAAATAATTTGTGCTATACACATACACTGAAATACGATTCAGTCATAATAGAAAAAATACAAATATATGCAATAACATGGATGAAAACATTATGCTTTCATTATGAGTGAAATAAACCATATACAAAGGAACACATACCCTGTTATTCCAATTATATAAACCTCTAGATTAGAGCTAACTAACATATAGTGATAAAAATGTAATCCCTGCTTAGGAGAAAGGGGCAGGAGATTGAAGACAAAGGGCATGACAAAACTATCTGGGGTGACAAAATTGACCAAGGTTTTTATCTTTACTTTGCCAATGACCTAATCTGTTTGCAGCACAATCTGTGCTCCTTGCCACTGGGAGTATGTGCAGCATGCAAGAAAGCAGAAACTGCCTGTGCATTAATTTTCTTCCATTCATTCGCTTTTAAATTTATTTATTTTCTCTGTCAACTTAATGATTTCACACAAAGGTTTCACTTCCAGCCATAGTCATGATCCACTGAGTAGAAGCATGCTAACATGGCATCCAAGACACAGAAGCCATGACTAGTCCATATATCTGGGAACGAAGAACCATAAGCTTCAAGTCTTATGTCCTGGGGAGCTAATCGCTGAATTACTAGATTGCAAGATCCCACTGTTTTTCTCAAAAATGAAGAATTCAAAAAATAGAAATAAAACAATATCCAGTTTGGCAACATAAAATAACAATTTGCGCTATGCACGTACACTAAAATGCTATTCAGTCATGAAAGGGAAATATTGCTAAGATATGCAATAACATGAATAAAAACATATCACTTTCTTTTTGAGTGAAAGAAACCATATAAGAAGGAACACATACCCTGTGATTCCAATCATCTAAAGTTCTAGATTAGGAGAAACAAACGTAAAGTAATAGAAATTCACTCACTACTATCTGAGGAGGAATTGGAAGGAGATTGAGAACAAAGGGTAAGGCAAAATTTTTGGAGTGACAAAATCGGTTCCATTATTCATTGGGAAATGATTATACTAAATATCCTCATATCATTAATAACCAATTTGTAGTCTCAAAAGGAGTACATTTTTTTGATGTAAATTATGCTAAAATAATATTACAATTTTGAAATGAAAAAGGTCAGTGGTAGTAATAATAGACTAATTTAGAAATTTTTTTTTTTTAATTTCAGGACACACTCAAATCTCCACAAATTAGTCATAATTCTGGTAAGAGTAAGTGGTTCTTATAGTGACTGAAATGTAATTACCTGCCATCTACGTTTGATGGGGATATGTAGACAGAATGAAGATAATTTATAGACCCAATTTATTGACTGAAATATGTACCTGGAAATAGCATTACATAAGTAAAACTATCTTAAAATGAATGAATGTGGCAGTTCTACTATAAGTAATATTTAAAACGCACATAATGATTTAAAAATCCTTCCGTCAGTGTGAAGACTGTGAAACAATATCATCTTAAATGACAGAGTAGATACTACAATAATCTCCAACACAGAAGACAGAAAATTCCTGAGTTTGGGTTTTGGCCGTCCCCTTTCCAAGCCTTAGAACATCATGCACCCTTTCAGTTTATTCAACTCCTCTTCTTATTTATATTTATGGGCTATAAGCACATTTTGAGTAATACAGTTTAGAGCACTCATCAACTGTAAGATGTTACTTTATTTTTTCCTTGTCTAAAAACTTCCTCCCTTCTGCACAGCTTATCAGTGTGGATTTTAGCATCTGATAGTCCCGAGGTCAACTTCTGTTTATGAGCTGTAGATCTTAGACAAGTTATGTAGTGTCTCTCAGCCTCTGTGTTCTCATGTATAGGAGGAGGCTCTTAATCATTCTTACCTTCTAGGATGCAATGCCAGGTGTGGAGGGCATGCCACATCACCTATCATTTATGTTAGTCTTCACCTATAGCCCAGAAGCAAGGTCATATCAAAATGTACTGTTTGGTTAACTACTTCAAAATTTTTTCTATGCTTCATTTCAGTATGTTAAATAAGC